GTTTTTCCGATCTGCCTAACTTCCTAACTTCGCGGCCGTCAAACTATTCAAAAATTTTCACGGTTGAGCACTATCAGTCAAGGTGTTTTCCGCGGACGGGCACTATCCATCCGGGTATTTTCCGCGGCGGGCACTATGGGCTGATAGTGTCTCTTCACGGATGAACACTATCGCGTCACGTGATCGATTTAAACCAATAACAACCGGAGGAAATCTAGTGGTGAACTATAATGAGTTATAGATGCACGGGAGAGGTAATCATTAGTTAATCAAGCATGTGGTTTCTATTAGCGGTTGATAAGTCTAAGATTCATGTGCAGATATGAATGTGTCATCAGAAATATCTATGGCATCTACAACAAAGGCGCTAAAGATCAGCTCAATGGCAGAAAATTTGGTACGTATATGTACATGACTCTTTTTGCCGAGTTTTTGCTTTGTTCATTTTGCTCTATTTTGTGTTTGCTTATTTTCCTTTTATTTTGTTTTTGTTCTTTTTGATACCTTTTAAATAATGATAATTATGATGACAACAATACTAATAGCAATAATAATAATAATAATTATAACAATAACAATAATTTTTATCAATAAAGATTTGGAAATGCAAAGACAAGCAAAAACCAAGGATAAAAACGGACGCTTTCATGATGACACCGAAACGTCGGTTTTTATCGTTGCATTTTTGCTTGTGTTTGAATAACAATAATAATAATTATTAGAACTATATAAAGCTTTTAAGGATTAGTTAAAGTACACTTATTTTTTAGTCCATGGCTCACAGATTACGATTTTCGCCCTGTGTTGTTTGATTATAATGTAGCATTTAGTTGAATTCTCTGCGACATAATAATTGAAAGAGTGGACTCGATCCAATAACCAGTTTGAAATTAATGGTTTTTTCCTTGGGATCTAAAAGGCCCAGCTATCTAAATGCAGTTAATTAATTTTTTGCTATATAAGGCAAAAAGTAGTGTTACTAAATAAGGACGATATACTAAACTCCAATTGTCTTGATGTTAGGCTACGGACTTCGTTTCTTCCTTAAACGATGTAGATGTAAAGCAAAATAGCAGCTTGCAGGTTTGTTGAAAATTCTGTACTGACACTTGTTAGATGTGGTAGACCAATTAAGGACTCCATCCATCAATCCACCCATTTATTCATTCATTTGTTCATTTCCTTGCATTTAGTCGCACTGGCAGGAGGTAGTAAATTTGTTTCAAGACACAGTAGAAGGGTACAAAAGAATTATAAACCTTGGAGCTCGACTGAATGTCACAAAAGAGCAGCTGCGTGTGAAGTCGATAGCGCAGACTGCAGAAGCTTTTGAAGACTTTGTTCTCGATTATGCGCAACATCATCTCAGTGACTCGATGCCTGAAATCCACAGGGTTTACAAAAAACTAGGTATGTTTAGTTTACATCTATTCTTGCTAAGTTGGTCTAATCTGGGTAGCAAAGCCTAAACATAATTTTCAATATTTTTCTTTGCTTATTGTTGGAGTTGCTTTTGTAAACCGTCGCTTTCAGCATAATTATCATTTTCATTATCGTCTTAATTATATGTATTATTGTCATTTTTATCAACGTAATTAATGCTTTTTTAAAAAAAATTTTGCAATCAGGGTTACTTCTCCGGAGAGCTTCAAGCGGGAATAAACAAGACTTCTATTTCACGGGACAAGAAAAAGGGGAATACATAAGAATACCTTCAAGAAATTTTGGAAGCAATGGTTAAGCTTACTTTTGTCTACTCGTATCGTATTCTAATTAGCACACAAACTGCAGTTACAAACATGACAGTAAAACGCATGATGGAAAACAAGATTAGTAAACTTTACTTGAAAAGAAAAAATTCATACATAAAGATGCAAACTAATACAGAGGAAGCTTATCACTGCTGACATTATCGTTCATGATCTCGAATTCTAATATATTTGCATCACAATTGGAATGCATACTGAGCTACGGAAAGTACAAAGTGCTTTGTTTGGAAAACCATTACGTCTGCCACGCTAAAGTTGTTATGCTAGGGTTGCATTTTCAAATTCCGTCCCCTTTATCGTTTGACCGTTCAGCGAGACATTTTTCTTTTCGATCACACTTTCACACACATGTAAAGCACCTAATCGTCAACTTTTGTTGGAGTGGACGCAGGTTATAAAGAGATTTTATTAACTAACTGTTTTTTTTCCCTTTCTTCAACTAAGGTTCAATGCTAGTTAGTATTATATACACAGATCTACATGAGCTCTTTAAAGTGACTCGAATCGACAGAAATACAAGGTACAATAATTGAGTCATTTGCTATTATAATCAATTTCAATTTAGTCATATGACTCTTAAATCTATTGCGATTAGGAGTCTGAATACCAAAATAATAGCAGCAATGATGGATCCGAAGCAAAAACAGTTGGAAGAGAATGTCACCTTAACATTTAGGAATATGGAGGTAGCTTTTTTTAATTTCTTTTCTTTTTTATTCTTGTTCATTATAACTTAAGATCTGTGTTTAAGGAAATCTCCTTTTACTTCCAAATGCCATATTTTTCAGACTACTGATGATGAAAGGCAGTGTGTATTTTGGAAAGGCTTTAATGAGGAGAGGTAACAGTCCACTTGAAGTTTTGTCTCTCCCATTTATTCCAATTATATATCTATTATTTATCAAACCCTTTGAACGTAGATCTTTTTTCTGCTCTGATTGGTTCACCATCGTAGAGCAGAGCAAAAGCCAGATTTAGCTTACTCTTTTTAATCGCTGTCTATCAATTACCATACATTTTTAGTCTGGACGGCTGGTCTGGGGAAGGCTGCCATGTGGTGACGTCAGAGAGCAATTCAAAAGAAACAGAGTGCAGTTGTAATCATTTGACTCATTTCGCGGTTTTATTTGACTACGACGATGCTCAAACGGTAATGGAAAATGGTACTTCTCCTTTTCTAGGTCTATATTTCTGTTTTTTTTTTAGTTACTCTTTTTTTTATTTTGTTTGTTTTGTTGTTGTCCCTGTTTTTGATGTTGCTGTTTCCTTTTTCTTTCTTGTTTGTTTTATTTTATTTATTTTATTTGTTCCTTTGTTTTTAAGGCAAATCACTTTATAATTTAAGTTGGTCACGCCGAAACACACTCCGAGTACAGGAAGAGAGGTTCTCTCATGAGTCTACTAGGTCCCTGACGATTTGGATTATAATTGCCTTTTTCAATTATAAAAGTACTTTTTATTTTTGTTGTTTTTCAAATTGTGATTTTTGTTTTTTTTGCTATTTTGTTGTTGTTTTTTCGTGTGTTTGTTTGTGTGCAAAGCAGATTACAGCAACAGATCAAAAGGCATTAGAAATTCTTACGTACGTGGGCTTAACACTCTCCCTCATTGGAATAACAGTTACAATGTTCTCTCACATTTTCCTCTGGTAAGTCGAAATACAGACAGCTGTAACACCACTTAGATTAATAATATTTTCCACCATTCTTAGTTTGTTTTCAATGTTTGTAACATTTATAAAGTGTAATAACTTATTCACTAATGGCGAGCTCTTTTCTTTTTGTCACAGCGATATGCATCAGCCTCTCTCTCAAATAAGAGTAAGTCTGATTGGATCTCTTGGAGCTGGGCAAGTCATTTTTCTTGCAGGCTTTACCGAAACAAGAATCACGGTATGAGCTCCTTTATGTTTAACTAATCGAGCTTTTAATTCCTCATGACTAATGCTCTGACACCAAAGGGTATCTAAATATGAGAAGAGTGATAACATTGATGTCATTACAAGAAGTGTGGCTGATGAATCCATGGTCTCATTTCTTCTTTAATCCATTTTGTTTTTCACAATTAATTATCATTATCATTATCATTATCATTAATTAATCATCATTATCATTACGACTAGCCGGAACACGTTCAAGACACACATTGTGAGTATCAAGGTTTCTAGGGGCATTCAATTTCATCCTGATAATCAGGACTCCCTGAATAACTTATAATAGTGAAAGCCATGGATGTTTATTTCCGTTGCGGCAAACATATCATTACTATGATCTTGTTTTGGAAGCTTTTTAGGCTACCTGCGTTGCTGTAGCAGCTCTAATGCAATACTTCCTTATGGCCGCGTTTTGTTGGATGATGGTGGAGGGAATTTACCTTTATTTTTTTGTCGTGAAAGTCTACAACATCAACAGAAAGATGGCTATCTATCATGCTATGTCATGGGGTTAGCTTCAATATGAATAATCGCATTTCTGTGTCGTGTATCTTTAGCTGTATCTTGTCGCAGCTCTAAGTTGCTTATTATTTTTCCCTTGCAGGTTTTCCTGCAGTCATGGTTATGATATCTTTGAGTATCGCTGCAGGAGAAGATGGAGTCCAGAGCTTTGTCAACGATGAATAGTAAATGGACAGTCTCTATATAAAGAAGAGAACCTTAATTTCTTTTTCGTGATTTTGTTTTTCATAACAACATATTTTTTTCTTATAGTTGCTGGATGTCTTCCGCTAACAAACTTATTTGGATTTTTATTGCCTTTGTAGTAATAGTTGAAGTGGTAAGTGCAATAAAATATATTGGGAACTTTTCACTACTTAAATTAAAATATGGTATTTAACCATCGTCATTGTTTTTCTTTTCCACTGAGAACTTCGTTCTGCCTCTCTGTGTCTCCTGTTGCTCATTGTGTCTCTCTTTCTCCCTATCTAATGTCCACTTAATCGCTTGACGTCAGAATTATTTTTAAGATACAATGAAATATATGAAGTTCATATATTTTGAACTGCAGTATTAGATACGTATGATGCACGATCCTCGCAGTAGATA